ACTAATGGGACCTATTTTTGTTATAGGAAAAAAAATAAACGATAATCTATTACCTTTTTAGAGGGGATTAGCAACATTATATGCAACATATCTTTCTTTAAGGCCTCTTCCTCCAGCCCCTTTCTTTAATTCCCCCTCTTTTACCTCAACCACATGCCCTAAAACATGTAAACACCATGTTTTTCAGGAACAACACCAGCAGGGTGATCTGTGAATTTTTAACAGGGCTCAATGCTGTGTACCTCCAGGGCATGCGGTCTCTACTGACAGCTTTACAGGCAGCTGATTGGAGGTGACATGCCAGCACAACAAGGGAGGCCTGCAACTACCATGGCCGCCATGAAGGGTCACACATCTACCACGCATTAGTATTGCAAAACGATTTTTCAACAGATGGACCAAATTATCTTACTGCTGCAGCATGACAGGACTTATCATTTTAAACTAATTTGAGCAGAGGTTTGTGTCTCATGAGTTTGTGGAACTTTGCAGAAGTGTGTATGCCTAAAATGCCTATCGTTGGGTAGACTTTAAACCATACATAAACATCAGCCAAACTTTTTTATAAAGATTTTGTGAATTATCAGGGATGTGATTTTTCCAGATTAATCCGGAATTCCGGATGTTCTGACCTGAAAACGGACCCACGTGACTCATGCAGATCTGTAATAAAAATTTTAAAAAAGGAGCTGGACGAGTGAAGTGGAAAGGATTTGAGGACATCTACAGGCTGATGTGTGGAAAGTTTTCTTCATTTCAAAATTTCAACAAGGATGTTCGTTTGCGTTCAGCTGCCCATTCCACACCTGCGCAGTGTGTACCACAGTCGCTCTCGCGCATCAGTGGTACGTAACCTGTTGGGCAGTAATACTGTAGTATTACTTTTCCCAGTGAAGAATAGTGTGATGGAATACTATTTCCAAAACAATAATGTTATCATAGTTACCACTCATATTAAGGCTGCCCTACTGAACGCACCATCCCTGATGTGAGTGCGCGACCGCACTGCAGCTCAGCGGCACCGGAACATATCAGCAATTAGCCAAAAAGGAAGACAGGAGAAAAGGGAGGAGAGGTATTTTCGACAGCTGTAAATAACGTTGTTGCCATTACTGTGTCACAGTCTAAGATGCAAAGAACATTGTCGTCCGTTGTAAACTTTGCAAAAAGCTTTTAACTGCGAACATTTTACATTGACTTAGGCTCAATAAAGCATCAGCTAAAGCAAAACAGCAACGTGAAACTCAGAAACTCTGGTGGCTACTGCCAGTGATGCTTGGACTCATCGGGAGAGAGTGGCGCTATATCACCCAGTACCCAGTAATAAGTAGGCTAGAGTAGCTAATATTACTTTTTTAAGGAGTAGCCTATGCAGGCTAACTAACTAACTAGGTAACTAGCCCAACACTGGGTTGACAATAAGCATCGGATAAATTGGGTATGATTTGATTATTGCTTGTTATAGGCTATGTGTAATGTTTACTCTGACGTTGTTGTCGATTGATCACTCATATAGCCTATATACACTTTGCTGTATGAATGGTTGCTTTTTAAGTCTTTATGTCCTTATGTTAAAGGTTTTGGCAAGTTATAAAATTTCTTGTGAATGGTTGTGACAGGGTTTATAAGGCCTTTTCAGATGGCTTTGATCCGCGGGGTTGCTCTGCGCTCCTCATCAACAGGTAACCATGGCAACGGCTTGTGTGTAACTGGCGCGAAATGTCAAACGTTTTCCTACAGTTTATCACTAGATAGAGACTGATCTGGCTGTTTGATCTGATCTGAAAACAACCTTTGCTGCTGTCTCTTATTCATTAAAAATAAACTTCTACTAAACTAATTTGAAAGTTAGTAGTTATACTATTTAGTTATAGAATCAATTATTTCATGCTGCATGTAGCACATTTAGCTGTTGAAGCTTGGTAAAAAATTTATACAAAATAATTATTATTATAGAGAGGTGGCGAAGACGCAGTGGATTAGACACTTGTCTTTGATTCCCACTGCAACACATCCACCAATAATTTATTGTCATGGGTCCTGCTTTACCATCCATATGCTATAATAGAGCCGCCGCCAGTTTTATCGGCATGTGGGGGGTCTCAGTATCTTTTCCAGCTTTTTTGCCCTTTGCCAATGACATGCCTGATTATTCAGTCAGTCAAGACATTTAGCATGAGTATTCCTGTTAAGGCTCAGGCTGACCTGAATTCAGATGTACACATAGCTGTTGCTATCATAAACAAATGGCACAAGAAAAATTTTTCTAATATCCCAATCTAATATTTATGTATATTTAGGAAAGCCTTGTTAGATAAGTATGTTTTAAAACTCCTTGAACAAAAACATCGCTAGCTAGCGGGACATGCACACAATTTGCTGACTTATTTTCCATATCACAACTTAAAATACAGTAGGAGACAACAAACAAATTCTCTATATAGCCTGTCTATAGCCTACACCTCGATAATGTAATCTACATCTTGTCTCCCCTTCATTCCACCAGCCCTGCCCTGCCCTGCCCTGTTCGCGACCAAAGTCCCTATAGGCAAGTCCTGCCACTCAGCAGCCATGTTGGCAACGCCTCTGGCCAGTTATTTCAGACTACCCAGAACAGGCTCCTATCTAAATGAATGGGGAGAGAGCCATAACTGCACTTTCACTGGTCACTAGGATATAAAAAAGTCTGATAACTTTGCCCCAAAACAGTATCTAAAACAAGTGTTTTTGTAGTGATGCATGTGTAGCATGGCTAAATTAGTTGTGAATTTTAATAAATTTATGAGAATTAATACCCAATTATGAATTTTAATGTTCATAAAATCAAAAATAATATTCCTTGTTTCAGGGCACCACCGGAGTTGTTATTAACCTAGAGTCTCCAGACCTCTAGGTAGCTTTCAATAATTATACAATTATTACTAGTGATCAGTTAGTTGATAATAGCTAAATTATCTAAAATCAATCAGTCAGTCTCATATCTAAAGGGTCAATTCTCTTGGCAGGGACGTGGAAATAGGCAACACACACAGTTTCCTGATTACAGTGAATTTATTAATAACTGAAGTTAACTAATGCGATATAAACGGGTGGTTAAATACAGGGAAAATAAACAATGGCTGAACAATGAGAAATGGAGGTTCGATTGTGGGAAGCTTTTGACTCATACAGCAGAGGAGAACTAATGAAAGTAAGCTATGAGTTTAGGAGTTAAAAGGAAAAATTAACATGACGGGACATCTCTGACCACAGAATGTTTCTTAGGTCTTACGGCTTGTTGACGGCCTGCTTTGGCCTGTTGCACGGGTCCCACGCTAGCTGCCCGATCCTGGCTTTTGCTAGGGATTCTCCGGGTTCTCCGTGTCTGAAGAAAACGCCTCCTCCATCTGGCAATTCGGCTGTTTTCAGGTTTCCTTCGTTGCTGGCGAGACCACGTGGCTTGGTCTGACCTCAGTGAAGTTGGCTTGACGAAAAAGCTTAAAAATGGAACTTGGTCCTTCCTGAATTAGTCCAGTGTAACTTAACAGACTGATAATGTTAACAAAACAAAAGAAAGAAAGAAAGAAAATAAAACAAACTGAGAGGCAGATCGATGTCGCGGCACTTCGCATGTGTAGCTTCAAGCGAACAAAGGCCTGTTGCGCTGGCCGAACTCTTAGGCGTTGCCCGGAGAGGCACGCCGGATGCGTGCCAAAGCGTCCAGAGAGCAGAGCGGAAGCCTAGGGCACGAGGGGAAGAGCAGAGCAGAGAGCAAGAGCGACCTCACGTGTCGCTATTTTGTTGCCTGGGGCGTGGTTCCCCAGAGGGCGTTTCAGGTTTCCCGAGGGACTGCCTTTCTAAACTTAATGTCTAAAAGAAAAGAAATCTATTGGATCTATGACATTTATACATTAACGGCATTTCCGACGATGGTATGTAATACTTGGGATGGCTGTTCAGGGAAATGCTAATTACTGGTTAGTGTCCCTTTTGTCAGTTTAACAGGCACCGCGTTATCAGCTTCGGAATCAAAAAGGCGCCAGTTTTACGATCAACTGCCCAGGCACAGCACTTAAAGAAAGCAACTTTCCACCCCCCCTTCCGTTGGGGTCTCTTCAGCAGTCTGTTGAAGTTGATCTTTAACCCCCCTGCTCCTCTGGGAGAGGAAAAGAGGAATTTGGAGTAGCTCCAAATTTAATCAATATAAAATGTACAAATCCACACCGTTGTCCCACTACACATGCGTAGTAGACCTGTGCTGTCTTTAAAGTTAAGTTAATAGTTGAATACTGAGCTTAATGGTTAAATTACAGGGGTTCATGCTGGGTGCTGCCCTCTACTGGTCAGAGTTAATAATTCAGTGAAGCACACTCTTCAGTCGAAGACAGACCGGCAAGAAAGACAGTGCTGGATTCATGTTGCTGAAAGTATTTCTGATCTGCTTCTGCCTTGGAGACTGTGTGCCTGTAAGTAATGTGTAAATCACTTGCATTTGTAAGGTATGTTATGTTAGAAACGTTTTTATGCTTTGGTAAAAACATGTGCTCTGTTAGCTAGCAGCACAGCAGTAGCTAGCCTGTTCTTTAATTGTTTTGTGACTTGTAGATGTTGTGGTAGGTGAACTATGCTACATCGCTTGTTGTATACAGTAGGCTACAGTGCGGGTTTTACACTTTGATAGGGATTGTGTAGTAACATAGTTATGTGTATCAGATGTAATCTCTGTATGCATATGTTCATGTTTTGGATACTGATATATATTCTTATTCTGTCAAGCAAGCCTTGTGTGTTTATTCGAGGACTTTTGAATGTTAACTGGCTGTCTAGCTTTGCTCAAGAGACCGTATTGCAAGGGCAGCACAAGACCCTTACAAAAGTCAAACCACACGATTGGCTGAAATATGTTTCCAACTTTGGCTGGAAACATAGGCTAAAAAGCAGATGACTGGCTTACAAGCGGGGTGGGATAACCGCCATCTTTGGTGTTACAGGCTTTCCCTATAGAGTTGTATTGAGGATTCTGTAAGTGAAGTGTCTCCTCTATAAAATGTCTCTGTGCCCACGTGCCCCCAGACACACCTGGCAGAGATTTGCACCCTACTCAGTGCTCTTATTGAATCACAAATACCTTGTTTTATCTCCTGACCTGTGGTCTTTGTTAATCTAGATTGTATTAGTTTAGTAAGTGGTAGATGACAAAATACATATTTTTAATCACACAGAAGAGAAAGGCAGGAAACGTGGGGATGAAAGAGGGGGAATAGCATCTAAAAATCAAACCACGTGTCGTGCTGTTACACGATACTCCTCATAAAATGGTCAGGTGGTGACAGCACATCTGTGATCTGGTTGATTGCTATCTGTAGATAATAAGTACTCGCATCACTTGTGATGACCTGATTTTGGTGTCTCTCTTGTCTACAGACAGCCAAGGCAGGACTGCTAGCAGTGAAAAGCAGACTACTGACCAGGACCCCAAGATCCTATGGGTCCTCTCATAGTGTCGAGTGCTTTCTGGTAATTTAATTATTTGCACACTTTTTTAATGAATTTTGAACCATAATATCAACTAAACCAGGCCCTGCAGTTTTGACTTAATATTTTTGACCATATTTATAACAGGTTAATCTGACCATGAAGTTAGAAAACCTCAGTGTGTATATATATATATATATATATATATATATATATTATATATATATATATATATATTTATACTTACATTGTATATATTCAATTATAAATTTGAATGTAAACAAGTGTCACAAGTGCCAACACATGTTCTATCAGAACACCCAGAGTTCTGTGACCTCACGCTGTGTCAGTGTTCCCTCCTGCAGACTGATCCAGAAGTTCAGTTTAGACCTGCTTCTCCACAGTGAACACTACAGAGACATTACCAGCACTAAACTACAAACGTTTAACCACAAGAGGAAAACACACTACTCCAACTGAGAAAACCTGAAGACAAAAGGTTCAGAACAGAAAAGAAAGAAAAACAAAGCCAGAATAAGTAAAACCAGGTCACCTTAAAATGTCTGAACAGAGACTGGTAAGTAAATGCACTTTACAGAAGCTTAAGCGCTAAGTTGGTTTAGAGTTTAGAGATTAATTTGCACAATTTAAAACATATAAAAAGGTGATGAAGACGTTTATAGTGAAGGAAATTCTGTGAAACAGCAGCAGTGAGTGAGTTTCAGTGTGAGCTCGGGGACAGGCAGCATCAGTTCATCTGTCACAGACTAGATTTTTACAGGCATGACATCTGAACAATCACCAGACAACTTGTGTTGATGTATGCTTATTTAACCACATATGCTTATAAGTAAACTGATCACATGTAGAAATTCTGTATACTGTGACATATGATAGGGTGCTGTGCAATATGTATAAGATTTTATGTGTTCTTTTTTAAGGGATAACTCCCATACAAGAAAAAAAGAAATACAAGGAGGAAAATCACAAGAATTGATTTTGATAAAAATAAATCTATAAGCACAATTTAGAGTCATGATATATATAAAGTCACTATGAGTAATCATATGCACTGTTTGCAGTATGAACACATCAAATAGATAGATAGATAGATAGATCTAGCTCATCTCACAGTTTTCCAATGTTTGTGTTTCTCCTCTAGATATCTGATTCAAGAAACATGGATAAAGAAGCAGAGGACATGGACAAAATCTCCAGCTCTCCTGCGTTCTCCAGAAACTCAGAGACCGCTGAGAATACCAACATCCCTGTATCAGGAACCAGTGATCAGACCGCTGAGGATCTTGATGATCTGATGCACTGTGATGAAATTCTAGATGACAAAGAGATCACTTGCCCAAGCATCGATCCCATCATGAGCCAGGAGAGCATATTAACGTGTTCCTCTTCTTGGTCTTCCATGAGCATTGACAACATCTCAACAGGTTCTGCCTCCTGTGTCTCTTCTTCCTCCACCATCACCATCAGTGCCATCACAGAGGCAGGCAAAATGCTCGTCTCCTACGTGATTGACGAGGCTGTCAAGGCACTGCAGTCCACCGATGCTGCAAAGACACTGCAGTCCACTGAGGCTGTCAAAACACCGCAGTCCACTGAGGCTGTCAAAACACCGCAGTCCACTGAGGCTGTGAAGACACCACAGTCCACTGAGGCTGTGAAGACACCCCAGTCCACTGAGGCTGTGAAGACACCCCAGTCCACTGAGGCTTTAATGATGTCGCAGTCCACTGAAGCTCTCTTGACACAGCAATCCACTGAGGTAGTGAATACGCTGCAGTCCACTGAGGCTGTTAAGACACCACAGTGCAGTGAGGCTTTAAAGACACTGCAGTCCAGTGAGGCTGTAAAGACATTGCAGTCCACTGAGAAGAAGAAGTGGAAGAGGTGTTTCAGTGGATGGCAGAGAAAAAGTAATAAGGTAGCTCCACATGAAGATTTGGATCAGGAAGATGTAAGCGATTCTTTAACTCTTCGGGCCATCAACTCTGGTGACCAGGACGACGAAACCTTCAGCCAGACGTCTGTGGACTCCTCTCGGCCTGTTGCAGAGACCAAGGCAAAAAAGAGCAACTGCTTCTTACGCTTCTTCCACAATATCTTCTCAAAGGTAAGGATGTACTTACATGAAAAGTGCGACAACTTTAAAAGTACACAGAAATAGATATAACCAGATATAACAGGTGGAACAGACCAGCAGAGACACTGTGAAGGAACTGTCTCAGGCAGCTCAACATCTCTGCTGCGTTCTTTCCTTCCCTTCATTCCATAATTAACCTGAATGCCAATCTTGAATCATACCCTGATTAGCTTTTTTTTGGACTGTAGATGTTTATTTGTGTTTCTGTACTGATGGTTTTTTATGACTTTCCCCAAAAGAATGAGAAGAAGATGAAGAAGGAGGAGGAGAAAAAGACGAAGCAACCTCCTTTTTGGAAATGGCAGTTGTGCAGAAGTTGTCTTGACATGTAAAGATAATAACGTCACACCATTTGTCTTTCTCTTAAACCCCCACTCCATCCCTGCCCCCTATTCCCTACTCCCCCCCCAAAACCTTCTTGCCCCCTCAATGCCCCTCATTTTCTTATCCCCCAACCCTGCCTCCTCCATGCTTCTCCACAACCCCCCCCCCTTCTCTAAATGCTTTCTGTAAAACTACTAATTGACAAACATTTAAAAATAAAGGCAGAGGATTTTAGACATGTCTGGACCACCGACACAGGATCCATCAGGTCAGAGGAGAGCATGACATTTGCTCCTGTGTCTCTTCTTCCTCCACCAACAGTGCCGTCACTGAGCAGGCCAACTGCTCGTCTCCCATGTGATTGATGAAGCTCAAAAGACGCTGCAGTCCACTGAGGCTGCAATCAAGACACCAACCCCCCACCTCTACTCCCACATTTTTACCCCTATATCCCCCCCATTTTCTCAACCTCCTCCTCATTTTCTCAACCCTCCACCCTCACTCCCACCTTCTTTCCCCTATATCCCCCCATTTTCTCAACCTCCTCCTCATTTTCTCAACCCTCCACCCTCACTCCCACCTTCTTTTCCCTATATCCGCCCCATTTTCTCAACCTCCTCCTCATTTTCTCAACCTCCTCCTCATTTTCTCAACCCTCCACCCTCACTCCCACCTTCTTTCCCCTATATCCCCCCCATTTTCTCAACCTCCTCCTCATTTTCTCAACCTCCTCCTCATTTTCTCAACCCTCCACCCTCACTCCCACCTTCTTTCCCCTATATCCCCCCATTTTCTCAACCTCCTCCTCATTTTCTCAACCCTCCACCCTCACTCCCACCTTCTTCTCCCTATATCCCGCACATTTTCTCAACCTCCTCCTCATTTTCTCAACCCTCCACCCTCACTCCCACCTTCTTCTCCCTATATCCCCCACATTTTCTCAACCTCCTCCTCATTTTCTCAACCCTCCACCCTCACTCCCACCTTCTTCTCCCTATATCCCCCACATTTTCTCAACCTCCTCCTCATTTTTTCAACCCTCCACCCCCATGTCTCTCTACCTCCCCTTCTTTCTGTCCACCTCTTCACCTGAACCTCTTTAGAATAAATATTTATAAATTTGTCCTGTGTTTTTACATTGTTTATCTGTCTGCTTTTCTAAATGAATACTGCATGTATCAATGGTCCTAGTACTTTACTGGACTAAGGGATAAAAGGAACATGACTTCTGTTGACATTTGAACCTTCCGTAACTGATAAAAAGGTGCTCACCCTGAATTTAAGCCACCTAACAATAAAACTTCTGACATGAAGAAAAAGTCACAAAGGGAAAGTGAAAAAAAATCATAAAATCCTTCTTTCACAGTTGGCTGTCCAAAGATGGCGGACAATGCAACGGAGACCACGCTGAAGACCACACTACTGATGTAAGGAGTGGAGCTATAGACATCCAATGAAGTGGTGCCGGTTCAGATGAAGGCTGAGATTTGGACATAATTTAAGGAAATTAAGACATATCCTTGCTAAGTGGGGATATGAATGAACCAAAAGTTAGACATACTGCTATACATGACAAGCTAGCTGGTGGGCTAGCATGGCTTTGCTTGGCGCAGGCAAAAGCAGCCAGCAACTACAAAATAATGGGTAACAGTGCTGGAGCAGGCAGAACAAGCAATGACTAAGGAATGTAAGACTAACATATACCCCATATTACAGTAACTGTACTTCCAGAAATCGAACAGTGAGTATCAAAAATTGCCAAAAAATTTATCTATGCAATTTGGCTTTTGAAAATATCATTCCACTGAAACAGCTGTTTTCTTTAGGAAAATATATTGGCTAAACTGGACCAAGGAGGTGTAGTTGGGGCGGTCTTCCTTGATTTGAAGAAAGCCTTTGATACAGTTTAATTTTTCATCCAGTATCATCAAATGGCTACAGTCGCAACTTTTAGATACAATGTGTTCGCATAGACCATAAAATTTCCTAAATGACTGATAATGACTTAGGTCTACCACAAGGTTCAACCTTGGGTCCTCTGTTGTTCTGTCTGTATATTAATGACCTACCTGAAGTTTGCCCTTCTGCAGTAACTTGTCAGATGCACACTGATGATATGGTCATATATGTACATGCAAAAAACAAGAACCAAGTAGCTAAGAACCTATCAGCTTCTACGGTCAATATCTCTAATTGGCTAACAAACTCTTTTTTACATCTTAATGCCAGCAAAACTGTATGCATGTTCTTTTCAAAATCTGCAAATAAAGATCCAGTCCCAGAGGTTACTGTAGCAGGAAGAACACTGACATGTAAATCTCAAGTTAAAAAAGTTGTAAACAGGATTAAATTCAATTTGGTAAATTTTTGACACATTAGGAGTAATTTAACTACAGAGGCCTCAAAGTTCTACATCAATGCTGTGATATTGTCACATATGAACTACTGTATGACCAGCTGGACACAGAAAGGAAGGACTGCATTATAGTCAGTAGAAACAGTTTAGTGGGCTTTGAAAAAAATGGATAAGTCAAATTCATATTATCACTGTAACATTTTAAAGAAGCATGTTTTTTTAAACTGGGAAAATATGGTGAAATTTGCTGATATCTTGCTTGTATAAAAAAAGTTCCATGGTTTAGCCCCCCTCCACTCAATGAATTTGTTACACAACACCTTAACTCATCCACCAGAGCTACTTCCAGAGGTGACTGTAAAATACCATAGAGGAAAAGGTCCTTCGGACAGTCAGCCTTTTCCTACCGAGCAGCGCATACCTGGAATACGATATCTACAGAATTAAGAAACATTTCTTCTCTTACTACCTTTTCAAAAGCTATAAAATAGTGGTTACTGGACAATCAAACATGTAGTCATAATGTGCAGTAATGCTTTTGTAATTGTTTTTATATTCCTGTACTCACGAGGTCGAGGTATTCTACGTGTCATATTATTTGTGCTTGTATGATTTTGTCTGTGCTTATGTAATTTGTGTTTTAATGTTTTGTCCATGCTTCTGTGATTTTAAGTGCATATTGTTTTTTTAATGTTGTCTGTATGCCATGTTTAATGTTCTTATAACATCAATCTGCCAGGGACTCCAGATGAAAATTAATCTGTATGGCTAAATCTGGCTCATTTACATTTGGGCATGTTCATTAATGTGAACTGTCCCTTTTAAATAAAAAAATAAATAAATCAATAAATAAATGGTTTTAAATTGACCAATACGCAACTGCTGTAATCAGATGCTCTAATAATTCCCAAACCTTTGACTTTTGACATTTACTGCTACTGACATTTCTGCAAAAACCTGATATGGGCCAATATAACGGCCTGTCCAATTTTTCTAAGACTTAAGACATAGGCACAGGAAATTGGATGAAAACGAGTGCTGAACAATTTTTCGTTCTTGATACTTATATGGTCCCAATGCCTTTTAACACCAACCAGTCATAGATCCAGGGCTTCCTTGTATTTTCCAGGCCAGTCATGATCACTATCAACAGATTATCAAGAATAAGGTAAGCCTGTTAGTGTTTACAGCACTGCCCTGTGAGTGTAAGCATTTGTATGGGAACACAAACCGGTCCCTGTTCACTCAATTTGTTGACAGGCTAGAATGAGGGTGCATTTGATAAAGGGGAGTAAAGCGTCTCCAGTGACCTGTCAGGAATAGGGTCCAGTCCAACTTGACAGACACGAGATCCTCTTTGACGTGTCCATTGTAGGGGCTTGACGCCTGAAGAAAACTCTTGTTGTTGGTGTTGGTCCGTTTTTGATAAAAGCAATTCATTTTGAAATCATGAATGAGTATTTGTTGTAGTTTGCTGCCCCTGTCCCTGTAGCTAAGAAACTCACCAGAAACTGCAGACCATCCTTTTTTCTCTCGCCTCTGTGCTATTGTCAATGTCCACCACTGATTCTGCGTGTCTATGATACACTGCAGTTTGCTATTGGGTTGCAACACAAAGGAGGCTAACCCTTTGCAATTGCCTGGTGCAAATTAAGAGTCCATTCACGTCCACTCACATTCACGTCCACTCACTCGCAGTTGTTTCACCTCTAAAATTCATTTTGACTTCTTAAGATATTTGCCTGCTTGCTGTTGTCTTTGTAAGTCCATTAAAAAAAGGATTTGTTAAGTGTATACGTGTGTTTTAGAAGAAATACTAACTTTACACTTTAGAGAAAGAAAAGGATGTGGTGGCTTTGTCCAGGGTATGGCTCATTTACAAACAGGGGAAAACACAGGTGTGTGACGCTGCAAATCTTTACAGGCGGCGCACACACACACATCCACACACACAAATACCCACACAGACAAAAAAAGAAGCCCACATATTGGAAACCCGTGACATCACTAGCACTTTACCTACCATTGACATGCTCCTATTTATGCACAGACGGCTGCTGCATGCCACCAGGACATAAACACACACTTTTACGCACCACACCCTTACACACGCCCCTTATACACACACACCCCACACACACACAGGCACTCACTCCACCCGATACACACCCTTGCCACCACCTATTTACCCACCCAGCGCCACAAACAGTCACCATGTCTTTCACACAACACACACCTCTCAACCTGCCCAACAAACACATAGCAACCCAAACACAAGTGTGTGTATTGGTATGTGTGTCTGTGTAGTGGAAACTTTCATTGGTCTAGAGGTGTCACCTTCCAGACTGACGCATGTTCTGGAGGTTTCCTACTTGTTGCCGGTCTTTCCTCTCCTCTCTCTTTTTAACACTTTCACTCTGTCTTTCTTTGGGTTATTCTCTCTGCTCACACCTCTTTCTCGCAGTACACTTTTAATTTTGTTTCTTAACTGTCAAAAGGATGTACCAGATGTCATCAACATGCCGAGTTCTCGATTCATTGAAATAAGTGAGAATAAAAGCGTCGGTTTTTGCTCTGGTGCTCCATGTTGACACTTGAGCATGTAACGCTGAGTGACAAGAGTTGAGTCACATGTTCTCAGAAGTCAAATCAAAAATATTAAACTTTATAATTAATATATGTGGCCTGTCTGACAGCTTTGAACATTGGTAAATTCACATGCAATATATAAAAAAACATTTCCCTATTTTCTCCGTTTGCAACCAAAACTGGTGTGGTTAAAAATCATCCTGACTCACAAAAATAC